GCCAGTGTTTGATCATTGATTATGATGGTTGCATATTTACTGCAGAGGTTGGACCAGAGCAGAACAGCATGGTGTAAATTGAGGGTTAAGTTCTTTCTCCCTCTGGGCCTGACGAGGTCCAGACTCACTCTGGGCTGGGGGAGTGCCCCCCCACCCCCAAAGCTCCACCCCTGGGTAACACACATAATGCCTCAGTTGGGTCTTTTATTGACACTCAGTACTCAGGCATTAATTCTGAGTTTCACACTGCCAGACAGGACACGGTAAAATAATAAAATAAATAAATAAATGTTACTCCCATACTGTTCCATTTATTTTTGCCACTTCAGTAGAAAGCAGAACTGAATATTAGTTTCTAAGTTTCTTCATCATCAGTGACCTTTTTTTAAAGAAGAAAAGGAAAGAGGGAAATGTAATGGGAAAGAGTGAAAGAGAGATTAGAAGATATGTGAAATATTTATCGAGAAAACACAAGACAACACAACCGACATCTTGGCTCCACACCTACAGAAACAGAGAGAACAAAAACACAGCAACAAAAATGCACATCGTATATATACAATGATTAACAAGCATTACAAAAGCCTTTTAGCTTTTCTCTTAACTGTTCTGATGCTTGAAAAATGAGGTAGTGAAGCTAAACTGAGCATTAGCCTCACTACTAGCGGTTAGCTTAGCCTTGTTCCTAATCCAGGTCCAGGAAAATGATTCAGTGTAAACTCTCCCTCTGTCTTTAGTGGTCTTCATGTCCATCTTATCAGGTACAAGGTATTTTACTTTAGGCTTCTCCTGTGTGCTCTCATTAAAAAGCTTGTGTTTTAAGACACTTAGCTAAATATTTGGCTCCTCCATTTGTTTATTGGAGCCTCTCTATTATTTTGCGTTGAGGACCAACTACACATGACCAGGAGTTAACGTTAAACTTCAATGGTAAAGATTTATTTGCCCTTCTTCACTACTTCCATGTAGGCAAACACAAATCTGGAATAATCCTGACATTTTGCAACAAAACATTACGTTAAACTTCCCAGGTTGGAGGGGTAAAGGAATTGAACAGCTGGAGCATATTTTTGAGGGGGTAGATTTTATCCCATTTCATAAATTAAAATTACAATGTAGCATTGACAAGAAATAGTTCTTAGAATATGACCAAATTAAGGCTATAATAAAAAAAGAAAATAAAACATTGTTAGAAATGCCAGTAAGTGTATTAGATTTTATGCAACTTAAGTCACCAAAATTGCAATCTAAAATCTACAAGAAACTGTCTAGAATAGATGACTCTGTATCTCTACCAACTACAAAATGGGAGTCAGATTTATCAGTTTACTATGAACAAAATACACGGTCCAAAATTTGCTTAAAAACATTTGAAATGACTAGAATCACCAACTTACAATTAATACAATTTAAGATTCTCTATAGAGTACACTATACAGGACAACAAATGTTTAAGATGGGATTCACATCAACTAACGTGCTCACAATGCACAGGTAATATACCTGATGATTATTTCCATGCGATCTGGTTGTGTCCACCGGTTC